CATTAAATATCCCACAAAATAACTGGATATAAATGGATGGTGCTCCTGCGAATTTTATGAGAATAATACAAGAATGGCTTAATGAAAATTATATGAGGCGATGGATAGGTTGAAGACCAAATGCCAATGTCAATTATAACGGTACAGAGGGTCCAGTGTCTTGACAGCCAGATCGCCAGATCTAAACCTCCTGGACTTCTATCTTTGGGGGTTACCTATCTGAAAAGTAAAGTTTACTCTACTCGAATAGATACAATACCACAACTACTGTAGAGAATAGAAGACGGGTGTAATGAATTAAATGAAAACCACCACATGATCTTAGCTCCAATTAGGTACCTAGTTCCATTAATAGAAGATGTCAGAAATGTACGGATGTGGATGGTTCGCATTTTGAACAATTATTGTAAATACTTAACGTTTATTTTGTTTTTTGTTTAGTTGTTCTTATTTGGTAAATGTATTTTTATTATTATTTTGATTCAAATTGTTCTTATTTGTAAAGATGGTGGATTATGCCTCCAGGGGAAATTAAAACACAGTAGGAACACTACCTCACAGGTAATGTGGAAAGAATTTTGTTGATCTGCTTACAAATTGCACTTACTTTTAAGCATAAACAAATATTCTTGTAATATTATGGTTTGAAGAGTCTGCCACAAGGGGATTGTATTTGTATGAATAACTTCGTAACTTTTTACGTATTCAGTACATTAGAATATAAATCCGTTACAATAACTTGTAAATAATACAGTGGCGTAGATTTTTTTATAAAAAAGGGTGACCCCTGTCCAGTTGTACACCACTGGTTGAACCTTTAGAGTTCACAGTTTAGGGAATGCAAGGCTTACTGTCATACATTATCTGTACCAAATTTCATCGAGATCGATTAATAGATTCCGGAGATATAAACAAAAATTCAATTTTTTTTACAACTTCAACACCCTGTATCTCTAAAACGATGCCGTTCTAGACCTACTATTTTACAGAGATGTATCTGCCCTCGAAGTTTCCCGCATAAAATTTGGACAACCCTGTAGAAGCTTTTAAAAATATATTGAGAGGGAAATCTGACCTTGAAGACATGCGCATTATGTTCTTTTTCTCTAGATTTACGTCACTATTACATTAATATGAATTTAACTTTAGTTCTGTCACATAAGATAACTTCTACAAAATTTGGAAACAGATACAAAAGTATTTAAAAATTTTCTTATAATAATGTAATGAGGCAGAAAAACTACAATAAACAAAAATTTTCGTACAAGGTCTATGATATTTTATTAACATTTAACACAATGTGTGTTATCTTTTAGCAAAATAGAATAAAATAAATTAATAAAATTGTAATTATGTTGTAACACATCTCTTTTAAAATGCATGGACACATTTTCTGTCTAAATTATAGTCAACAGTGTTACTGCGACCATTTTTAATATATTTTTTTCATATATCCATACGCAAAATACGATACATACAAGACATACGCACATACATAATTATTGTTCTTATCCTTATCCGCGTCTGAAATACACGCCCTGTATAACACATTACAATGCACATATAAAACGCAGGCCGCCATATCAACTCACACGTAAGTAGGTGCTTACTTTAATATAATGTTTTATTTATACAATTAGATCGAAAGATATTCTCCTGACCCAAATATTAACCCTTGCTTGAATGATACGCTCCCATGCTATCGACGGAATTTCAAATACGAAACGATAACCACACAATGGTTGAAAGTCTCGTTTCAATAAATTACTTATAAATATGTATTAGGGTGATTGGAAATTGACAAAATGTTAAGTACACTTTTCCGGTTTTAGACATGACCTTTGTGCTTATCAAAAATATCTATTAAATGACAATTTTAATTTTTTTTACATCCTGTCCTCTTAGACCAGGGTGGATCTGTGGAAATATCCCACTCCTTGGATGTAATTTTTTTTATCATTTGAGAGGTTGAACGGTCTTCTATGTTAAAAAATTGTCAAGTATCTAATTGCTTTATTTGAGGCTGTGCAAAATTTTTTTCAAAACATTATTTTACGAAAACTATAGAACTGATTTTAATGAAATTTGGTGTGTTGTTTTATTATACTCTAAAGTTTTTTTTACCAAAATTAGAATGCCTTCGGAGCAATTNAAAATTTTCTTACAAGGTCTATGATATTTTATTAACATTTAACACAATGTGTGTTATCTTTTAGCAAAATAGAATAAAATAAATTAATAAAATTGTAATTATGTTGTAACACATCTCTTTTAAAATGCCTGGACACATTTTCTGTCTAAATTATAGTCAACAGTGTTACTGCGACCATTTTTAATATATTTTTTTCATATATCCATACGCAAAATACGATACATACAAGACATACGCACATACATAATTATTGTTCTTATCCTTATCCGCGTCTGAAATACACGCCCTCTATAACACATTACAATGCACATATAAAACGCAGGCCGCCATATCAACTCACACGTAAGTAGGTGCTTACTTTAATATAATGTTTTATTTATACAATTAGATCGAAAGATATTCTCCTGACCCAAATATTAACCCTTGCTTGAATGATACGCTCCCATGCTATCGACGGAATTTCAAATACGAAACGATAACCACACAATGGTTGAAAGTCTCGTTTCAATAAATTACTTATAAATATGTATTAGGGTGATTGGAAATTGACAAAATGTTAAGTACACTTTTCCGGTTTTAGACATGACCTTTGTGCTTATCAAAAATATCTATTAAATGACAATTTTAATTTTTTTTACATCCTGTCCTCTTAGACCAGGGTGGATCTGTGGAAATATCCCACTCCTTGGATGTAATTTTTTTTATCATTTGAGAGGTTGAACGGTCTTCTATGTTAAAAAATTGTCAAGTATCTAATTGCTTTATTTGAGGCTGTGCAAAATTTTTTTCAAAACATTATTTTACGAAAACTATAGAACTGATTTTAATGAAATTTGGTGTGTTGTTTTATTATACTCTAAAGTTTTTTTTACCAAAATTAGAATGCCTTCGGAGCAATTAAAATATTTTTAAAAAATTATCCAAAAAACTTGATTATTTTGCCTTTTTTCATCAATTATTGCTATTTTGCAACATCAGTAACAAATTTAAACACTTTCAACTTACAATATTTTGTGCAAAATTCAATTCTAAAGCTTTTTTTCCTCTTCAATATTCTTCCAAAATGCATAGGTTCCGAGATATAAGTAAAAAACTATATAAGTAAACTGTATATAGTAAATTGGTGGTAATAGTTTAAATAACTAAATGGATTTGACAGGGTCTGACGACACTTACGGTGTACGATAATTCAATAAACAACGAAATCTAAATAAAAAATTTATATAAATTTGGAACGAATACACTGATGATGAATTTTTCGAGACAAAACGTCTGAATCTGGTTCGGACTGAGGCAGTACAGTATTGGGGGACATGCACGCTTGCAAAAAATGTAATAAAATTTCCAGGGTCGTATTTAAAAAAATGAAGTTGATGATGGTCCTGGAGAGACGAAACGTTACATATAAAAATTGATTATGCCATTCGATAGAGGGCAAAAAGTGGCCATGAGAAAGTGTTCTTCTTTTTTAAATATTACCTCAAACAAGGCTGAAATAAAACAAAAACGAATTTCCAAAATTTCGGTTTTCTTTAAATATTTCGAAAACTAATCATGTTAGCCTTGATTTTTTAGAGGCATAATGTTGGGTCCCTGATTACGCAACTTTGCCCCCATTTAAGCTACTTCGTACCTCTTACCGTTTCCGAGATCCCTATAGTGAGAAGCGAATTTGTAACAGCCTGTATACATATACTTTGGAAGCGATTTTTCGGAAAATCACAAGATTTCTTTTAATTAAAAATCTGTTTGCGTAGCCGTACTCTCATTTTTCTCTGGATCAAATTTCATCTACTTTTAAAGAAGCCTATTTTTACGCAGACTTATAGTACCTAGTTACGTGAAAAGTACACATATACAGGGTATTATTTAAGTACGTATCCAAACTTCAAAGGGTGATAAAACCCGGTAACGCTTTGTTTTAAAGATACAGGGTAAACTTTTTTAAAAATCGTTTTTTCGTAAAAATCTTAATAATCCTTTAGCCGATTTTGTTTAAATTTGGCAGTATTATTTATAGTAGGAAGGGGTTAATTTAGCTGAAACTAGATTAAAACTATTAAGTTCAGTGGCGTCCGGGGGGCACCTTAACCAGTATATTTGAAAAAAAAAATGTACGCCACTGACTTTTTAACAGCTGTTAGGAGTGTGTGAGGTTAGATATCTTATGTATATCTGGATTTCTGGTATTCAACAACATTGTTTGATTTCACTAGATAAGATTTAAAAAAAAAATGATTTTGTTTAACAGCGTATTTTTTTTAAATGAACAATTTTGGCGGACAATCCTTACGTGCTAGGCTAGACTATGTTTTAACTGCTCCATTTGTTAATCCGAAATTTAATTAAAATATAACCGAGTCCTCTTTTTATTTGCTAATAGAGAAACAAAGAGGAATTACTCAAATACATTTTCTAATGTATGCAATTCGAACAGAAATTTTTAAATTAAAATAAAAAAGCGTTCTTAGCAAAACTGCAAGTAGTTTGCATTAACTTTCATTGTAGAATAGCATTCAGTGATAAAACACTACACTATTTTTTTATATGCATACATTTTAAATACTTTAAAAGAATTAATGACAAAATTATTAATTCTAATATAGAATATGACATTTACCTCTACCTGTTCTACTTTTTTAAGTAGGTAGCTTATGGCGTCAGACAAAACTTAAAAAAGGATTTAAAATTAATATTTATTCATCTGTAGACATATTTAAAATTAGGGCAGACATTTTTTATATAATCCTCAAAATCGAAACGAATTTCAAGAGACTTGCAACATATCCATAAAATTCGCTTAGTTCCGACCTGCAAAAATCGATGAAAAAAACAATGGAAGACTTACCTCGAGCGTTCGTCGCGGAGTCTGCGATTTTCTGGAACGCGTCCAAGTAGGCCGAGACCGCCAAGATTGTGGCCCTGCAAAAGACAAAAAGCCGCTGATAAAAGTGTCCACTTATCTTGAGTTTATGCAACGCGAGCCGCGATAAAAAGGACGCTACTTTATCCGCGTGAAAGGTCCGTTGTGTAACAGAAATAAATCCGTTCGACCGACTGCGGGTGCGGTTGCAGCAAATTTTAATCGCTCGTTTGCAGCATGAAAAACAACGGAACAGTCACGAGGATACTTTTTATAAAGTTTAATATACAAGGTGGCCGTAAGGTATCCGAGATACTTTGTATATGAATTCTGTGACTAATTTTAAGCAAAAATGATTTTATTCACTTTTCCAGAATTCCCAACGGTTCAATGTGACCACCGCTTTGAATAAGCACATGTCTCCACATAAAAAAGTCCAACGGGTTGAGATCCGGAGATCGCGGTGGCCAAGCAATACGATCACCATGATCCATCCATCGATTTGGACACTTGTCATTGAGGAAATTAGTTACACCTCTTCCATAATGGGACGGAGCGCCATTATGTAAAAAAAACATCGTCCTTCTGATTTGAAGAGGAACGTCCTGAAGTAGAAAGGGTAGATCCGTATCCCAAAAGGACCAGTACATCTCGCTGTTCAATTTTCCGTCGAAGAAATGTGGTCCGATAATTTCATTATCATTGTTGTCACCACAAATATACGATTTTATTTAAAAAATGAATGATGTAAAAGAAAATTTTGTCATTCTATATTTAACAATTTTGGTACCCTCTAAAGTGGTACGCCCATGGAATCGCATTCTCCTCACACCTTACTCGCTGCATGGATCTACATGATGAGAATGAGACTACAATATAAAACTGATAGTAACATATTTGATTAATATTTGTGATGCTTTGTTTTTAGAGACAGTATTTATATCGTTAAATATGTTAAAATTCACCCATAAAGCTTCTAAAAAATTTGTTTAACGCGATTTATTACGATACAATGCGTCCATTCATTCGCGCTTTTAATTACGTTTAGGACATCGATTCAGATCCTGGTGAACGCAAACTAAGCAGGTTTAATGCAGTGTAACGTCAGCAGTAACACTAAAGTATCGCCTGTTATGAAAATATTGATTTGATAACCGATACTTCATACTCTAACAACGCCGTGCATTGTGCGCATTTTGTCATTGCAAACAATTTGTTACAGCTACAATAGCAAATGAAATAAAGTATCTTTAACTGAAACCGTCAAGATTAGATAAAAGGAGAGGTGACATTGAAACGGGAAAGTTTTACCAGAAGGATAATTCGGAATATATCTATGTTTTTATGTTTAATTTCTATTTATCCTGTATATGTATTAATACAAATATTATATAACATGCGTGGATTGTGCAGCGTCACAAAGTACACAAATCATTAATCAAACAGGATGTAAATAGTTATATTTCACATCTCCCAAAAGAGGAAGTGATAAAATTTATTCTAAATATGTTTTTCCCAATAAAACAACGAAATTTATCACACAAATGCATTTACGGTTGAATTTTGATAACGAATGATATTGAGAAGTTGAGATAGCTTTCGAATGATTACACAGACCAACAAAATTTAACTTTTTTTTGGAAGCAGAAACTTGAATATACAGTTTCCGAAGGATTTAGGTGCGCTGAATCCGAATCTAGCAGCAGAATTGCTCTATCACGTCAGGTTTTGAGATATCCTAACCTAAAAGTGCAAAAACACTGTTTTTCGTCATATGCAATGCCATCTATTCTCTTTCAAAAAACTAATACATTGAATCTAAGTACAAGGCTCCCTGCTTCGAATGCCGTTGAGTTTGCTCAAATATCTTTTTTTTTTTTGTTAAGATATCACATGTTGAAATTTTTAAGTTTCTCAGTTTCTTAATATGCGAAAATCTACTAAGGATCCCTTAGACATCAAGCAGTCGATTGCAATTCAGAAATTTCATACCCATACGGTTTGTGGATTTGGAGTTGGTAGGCTTGGGGTTTGTAAGCTTAGAGTTTGTAGGTTCGGGTTTTGTGGGATTGGGGTTTGTGGGTTTAGGGATTGTGGGTTTGGGGTTTGTGGGTTTGTGGATTTGGAGTTTGTGAGTTTGAGTTCGTATGTATTGAAGGTTTCTGAGTATGAAGTTTCTGAACTGCAATCAACTGTTTGACGTCTAAGGGATCCTTAGTAGATTTTCGCATATTAAGAAACTGATAAAAATTTAAACATGCGATATCTCAACATAAAAATAAAAGATATTTGAGCAAACTCAACGGCATTCGAAGGAGGGAGCCTTGTACTTTTAAATTCAATGTATTAGTTTTTTAAAAAAAAATAGTTGGTATTACTACATAACCTCAAATATGACGAAAAACAGTGTATTTTGCAATTTTAGGTTAGGATATCTCAAAAACCTGACTAGATATAGCAATTCTGCGGCCAGATTCGGATTCAGCGCATCAGAATCCTTCGGGAATGCATATTAGTGTGTCTGCTTATTGACCCTTGTTGACCTGTGTTATTGTTTTGATGGCACAGCTTTTGGAAACAAAATTATTTAACTTGTATTTGATATTTTTTTATGTCCAATTACTCTCATGATCATTTCACATAGTTATCAGGTTCAGTTATAATCTGTAGCTTTTTTGAGTGCCAAAATATTGCAGAGCTTTCTAATAGGGTCGTTTTCCATTCCTCTTTATTTTTTTTCTCTAAAGATTCAACTAAAATATGTGCATGTGTTTAGTAAATTTTTTTAGTTCATTAACACTATGTTTCTATAGCAACTGTAAAACTATAAAGGCAAATGCGCAATTGATTCTATGATTTTCATACTTACATTTACAATTTTAGCGATACAAATAATAAACTGTTACCTAAAGTCAACAGTTCCTGTGTAAATTGGAAATTATTGATTTCAGCACAGAAAAATCTATGGTGGGTTTATTTATAGCATCGTCTCTTTTTAATTTAATATGCTGAATCATTGTTTTTGATGAAGGTATAACAATAATAAAAATTACAGTTCAGTAATCAGACATCGTTTATTCATCAAATCCACCGTAGATTTTTCCGTGTTCTGTGTTGAAATCAATAATTTGTAAATTACACAAGAACTATTGAGTTTGGGTATAGGGAATTATAGTATCATTTTAAAGTAAATTTAATGCTGCATCCATTAATGTAATAATATACAGGGTGTACTATTTGAAATTTTTGAGTAAATTCAACTTTAGTCACAATATCGGCCACACGTTTTTCAATACTGTATGAATTTCTGCAAATTTGACATGAACTGGTTGAATTCCATTGCTTTTAAATTATCCATGCCAAATTTCATTAATAAATAAAGCTAAATGTCGGAGTTATTCTGTTTTTAAAAATCACTTGCATCCCTCAATTTTTTTCTAAATTTGGTAATAACTTGAAAGCTATCACATTTTGGCCTATAGTACCTTGTATGGAATTAGTCTAGAATTTGCCGTAGAATTTAAAAATGAATAAATATACAGTGTTCCAGATAACCGGAAGTGCGAGGAAGACGACATTATTTTCATTGAATAGATCGTTTTAATAAATCCTCATTTGATGTTGTAGACCATCAGTTGTTTAATAAAAGCTGCTTATTTTCGTGCTCTCTATCACCCTTTTCAAGTAACGTACTCAGGGTTCTTAGTTCAAAAGTAATATAGAATTCCCTGACTTCCACGTTTTCTCCGACATAAAAAAAAAATCCAGGCCACTTGTAGTTCATTTTTACACACCAATAGGCGTTTATGCATTAAACTTTTTCTAGACTGGACTCCATAATCTTTTTTATATCCAAAACCACAAATAGTTTTCTCTTTCAAGAACCTAGGTCCTGCTTACATAAAATTTCCAGTAGCAAACGTCAAATTCCCTGACTATTCCCTATTTTTTTTTGTGAAGAATATTGAATTTTCTGACTTTTCCCGGTTTTCCCAGTTTTCCAGGCCGCTAGCCGTTACGAACCCTGGTACTTATTTCAGAAACGCCCTGTATTATAGTACTTCAGATGACTTAAATATGCCGCTAATAAATTTTTAATTATTTCAAAACTAGACTTTTCTGTCATTACAACACAAATTCTTAAATTAAAAAGTTTCCCCGACCCAAATACACACGAAACTACAATCCACAAATTTACATTTGATGATTTTAATAACGACTATTACAATCAAGCCTGCGGTGCGCGGATCGACCTCTATGGTCTGATAATTTCTTCGCCACTTCCTGTTATCCACAAATGTACATATTATTGAATAACGCAGATGGCCTTGCGATATATACAATACCCACACACGCCGACAAAGAGTTTCTACGGCTACCAACAAACTCTCTGTAGGTACTTACTTGAGGGACGAATGCAGCTTGGTGGCCTTCGCGATGAGGTCCTCCCATAAGGGCATCCCATTCTGCAACAAAGAGAAACGAAACGTTAGAAAAAAAAATGTACAAAAGCCGCAGATAATAATAATTAACGCTCTCGCATATATGGTTTCGATAATGCAAGAGTTCGCTTTCGCAATAAGCGGTCGCTGTATCGCCGCTAATTTGTTTTTTCTCGGCCACCTTGAGATATCCCAAAGAGGAATTCGTTGGCAGAGGTTGTTTCTTTGTAAACGCGGAGCAAAATTCCGCGGCGTTTTTGGTCGTACAGAAATAAGGAGGCGTATGAAATAATTTAGTTTGCCATCATGGGATATTTTTAGTACTACAAATTAAAATGTCTTCTTAAAAAGCAGAAAGAAAAGAAAATTATTAGATTGATCTACCTTGCTATGGTTTCAATAGTTTTTATTGCAAAAATAACGGTCTGCTGACGAAATTCGTTACAACAAACAAAAACTTATAGCGTTTTATTTTTGCAGACTAGCAAAAACAATTTCAGTGTTCTAAGACCTAAAAACTTATCAAAATTCTTCATGCCTGGCATTGCCAGTTTCATTGAAAACGTCGTAGCTACTAGCTATTTAATCGACAGCAATACATAGTTGTCAGTGTCAGTAGAGCTCGGGGCTTTCGTCGGCTAGTCATAGGCGTATTCGTCGTAAACAAATAAATAAACAGGTAGATATAAATAAAAATAAATAAATTCATCAGCGAGAGGTCGCTTTTTACCCTTGGTACTTTCGACATTATTATAATATTGAAACACTTATACACGAAGCAAACTCGAAGCCAATAACTTGTTATTTCCGGTTTCGTACGGTGCGACGGCTATGATCATCTGGCCGAGTCCCGAGATCTCGTTGTCAGTGTTTTGCACATTTATTGAGTTTTGCTAGCTGTAATTCCTAAATATGGTTTATTTAACAGAAATGCATAAAATAAAAATTATACAGGTCAACAAGGGACAAGAAGCAGACACACTAATATGCATTCCCGAAGGATTTTGGTGCGCTGAATCCGAATCTGGCCGCAGAATCACGTCAGGTTTTTGAGATATCCTAACCTAAAAGTCCAAAATCACTGTTTTTCGTCCTATTTGAGGTTATGTAGTAATGCCATCTATTCTTTAAAAAAAATTCATATAATTTAAAAGTGCAAGGCTCCCTCCTTGGAATGCCGTTGAGTTTGCTCAAATATCTTTTTTTTTCGTTGAGATATCACATGTTGAAATTTCTAAGTTTATCAGTTTCTTAATATGCGAAAATCTACTAATGTTCCCTTAGACGTCAAACAGTTGATTGCAGTTCAGAAAACTTCATACTCAGAAATCTTAAATACACACGAACTCAAACTCACAAACTCCAAATTCACAATCCCTAAACCCACAAACCCCAATCCCACAAAGCCCGAATCTACAAACTCTAAGCTTACAAACTCCAAGCCCACCAACTCCAAACCCACAAACCGTATGGGTATGAAGTTTCTGAATTGCAATCGACTGCTTGATGTCTAAGGGATCCTTCGTAGATTTTCGCATATTAAGAAACTGAGAAACTTAAAAATTTCAACCTGTGGTATCTTAACGAAAAAAAAAAGATATTTGAGCAAACTCAACGGCATTCAACGAAGGGAGCCTTGTACTTTTGGATTCAATGTATAATTTTTTTTGAAAAAGATTAGATGGCATTACAACGTAACCTCAAATATGACGAAAAAAACAGTGTTTTTTTGCACTTTTAGGTTAGGATATCTCAAAAACCTGACGTGATAGAGCAATTCTGCTGCCAGATTCGGATTCAGCGCACCTAAATCCTTCGTAAATATATCTTCAAGTTTCTGCTTCAAAAAAAAAAGTTAAATTTTGTTGGTCTGTGTTAATTCAGTGGTGGCTCGCCAGGTGACACAAGTGACGCACCGCTTCACCTAACATTTCCGTTTGGTTGTGCAATTTAAAATTATTTTTAATTTTATATAAATTTTATTAGGTATAATTCTAGGTCTAATTCTATATTGAAAATGTATTATGTTTGTTTTATACGCAGAAATAAACAGAATAGTTCGCTGTGAACGCCTTCTAAAAAAAAACATTGCCTTCGTTGAGCGCGAACATCAACCTAGTACCATACAACGTATAACATAAGCAAGTGACGCGGATCGAAGTCAGTCTGTATTCCGCTTCACTTCGTAGCGTTGTTTACGGCGGTTGTCATGGCAACGAGGCGGCCAACACGTGAGTAAACTAAGATGTGGGGGGAACGAGTGACGCGGAAATTGAAGCAGCATCGCCCATCGCTTGCCTTTAAATAGTTTATTCGATACGTCGCCCAGTGCACAATTATAACGGTTCTTTGTTAACATTTGTTCTGTATCAATAATTGTAGAAACGTTTCCTATGTATGATCCAGTATATATTTTATTGGAAACGCCATTTTCCAGATGGAAAATAGAGGACAAAAGGGATTTTCCTTTCTGTTTTGATAAAATCTAAATGAAAATCCTTCTCACAAACATCAGTTTTTCGGTAATATTGTAAATGCAACTAAAAATTTCCAGATTCATTTGAAAATTTTTTCCTGCGGCGCTTTTTTTCTTTTTAGTAACCAGTGAATATGCTTAATCTATTCTCAATGTAACGAGCCGTCACTGCAAATTATACCAGGTTTTCCAGATATACTCCAAAAATAATTTAAAATGTGGAGAAATTGATTTGGTTCCACTTTATTCCAAGAAGTTTTACTTTATTGGAATTAACCTCACACCCCACCCAGAACCCCAGACACCCCAGGTAGAAAGACATTAGTGGAAAATGTTAAAGCACGCCCCTGTCGCTGTAAATTGTTACAATATTTCCCATAACAGAACTTTATTGGCTTATTCTTTCCTTTCAATTCTATCTCAACAAACATCGTACGGAATGTACTTCAGTTGAGAACAATTCAATTCAGTGACTCCTAATCACGATTTCTATTAAAAATCACGCAATTGGAAGATAAAATCTACGAACAATCTATTTTTAAAAAGTTTTGCTTATCGCTGATCCCATTTATAGGAAACGAGCACTTCTGAACCTGCGCTTATTTTATTTTGGGGAATTTTTCGCATATGATTCATGGCTTAGTGACAAGAAGCACAAAAACTATCATTCCATCACCGTAAATAATGTTCACATTACATCTTGTCTGGCCTCCAGGTCCATTATATCGAAAAATGCGTCAGCACAAAAAAAACGGGGCCAAATCTCGGCGCCGCGTCAAGAGATGGATAAATGTTTGTATAATAAATGCATTTTTTCACGAATCGGTTGTCGCGTCGAATCGCAGCGAAAAGATGCTAGATAAGTCACTGTCGGGCTTTTTGTCGTAACTGGAATTGATATTTATCGATGATAATCCGCAATGACTTAGTGAAATATATATTTCCGAGGAATCCGAGTCGCAAAAACGCCCGAGCCATTAGATTTATTGCCGCGTGCCTCTAGTTTGCGTTGATTGATTTGCTGTTGAATGGAGGAAGGAAGCGAGACCCAGTCGAAGTTTATTGCTGTCGAGAACCGAGTAATGGATATTTAACTAGTTTAGAAATGAATAGCGAGTAGAGATACTGTTTCCTAGAGCGCAAGCATAGGGATCTTTAAAGCAGATACTTTAGTAGTCGGAGCAAATGGAAACTGTAGCAAAAATAATCAGGAAAATGATATAGAAACCGGAATTACTTGGTCAGATCTTTCTAATTGCCGCTTTTTCATAGACGCTAATGTATTTAGTGAAAGACACGATATATAATCATTTACAGTTGATCTTTTCTTTAATCCCCTTTTTACCAGTTTCGAATTTCACGCACGGTGGAGTTTCTAACGAGAACAGTTAATTGCAATAATTACATATCAAAAATAAATAGGCATACAATGAATGTGTCTTTCTTACATGTTTCATGTGTAATTGTATACAGGGTGTAACGCAATAAAGCGTCAAAAATTAAGCAGCATTTTCCTCGCATAAATTTTAGAATATTTGCCCTTGAAAGTGTAGTTTGTGAGAAACAGGCATGGCGATGAATTAAAAATAAATACAACACTAATATTTTGATAACATGAATTTTAAACACTAATAGGACAAATTCACGTTCCTCAAAAATTATTGCGAACAAAGGAAAAAAATATTTTCTTTACATTTTTTAAATGTAAGTTTCATTTTGAACGAAAACGGTTCCCTGAATATTTTTACATAGTCTTACCTTTTTGATACGAATCATAAATTTGAAAGATACATTTAGAATATACAGGGTGATTCAAAAGTACCGGAATGGCAGGATATCTGGGAATATTCAAGGGGTAAGGTAAAAGTAAAGAACAAGGGGTATAGGATTTTTTCCTTGTTATCCAATGGTGACCTTGAATTTGACCTGGATCATGACCTTCAAGGTCATATCAAGGTCACAATTTTTTTTTTAAATGGGACCCCATAATTTTGACCCCGGAAATGGAAAAAGCGGAAAATTTTACGTACGGATATGACCTTGAAATTAATGACCAAGAAGGTCAAGTTCAAGGTCAAATATCAAAAATAATAAAAGGTCATTGTTGGTCAATAGTAATCGCCGAAGGTAACATATTATGATATCGGCTAGTCAATAGTAGTCACAGATGGCAACATACGGCCACCGTCAGTTATTAGAGGTAACTAAAGGCAACACAAGGTCACAAGGTCACTGTTGGTCATTAGTGGTCGCCAAAGGTAAAAAGCGGTGATTCTCTCCATTTCCGGGGTAAAAATTATGGGGTCCCATTTAAAACACTTCTTGTGACCTTGATATGACTTTGAAGGTCATGGCCCAGGTCGAATTCAAGGTCACCATGGGAAAAATCCTAAACCCTTAGTGCTTTACTTGCACACTACCCCTTGAATATTCCCACATATCCTGTCAATCCGGTACTTTTGGACCACTCTGTAGAATTAATATATGGTTACTTCAGATAAAAGTGTAAAAAACGACTTGGTTAAAAATATAAACGAAGCGAATATTT